GAACCACTAGACTACGTCAATGTTGCAAGACTGCCTAATGAGAAGAATCACACAGAAGGAGATTATTTTAAAAAAATACTAAATCTTAGGTCCCAGGCCAGACTTTCTGATTCATAACCTCCAGGGAAGGGACTAGGATTTTCTATTTTAACAAACTTTGAGTGAGTGGTTTGATTAGGCAACCTTGGGAAATGCTACAGCCAATCTCCACGAGTTCCCGTGCAGTGTCTGTCATTTTCCCACTTGGTACCAATGGGTGGGTTTTGCAATATGGCAGCAGTTGTATGATGATTTAGGAGTAGCACAACACTGGGTTCTGTAACCCTAATCTACTCGCCCTAGAGGCCAACCGTGGAACCCTACTCCTTAACATAAACAGGTGCCTGGAAGACAGTCTTTCGTAACATCGACTGGACTTTGTCCAGCCTTATAACAAATTTATGTACCTCTGCTTTATTTATGCATTTCTATTAGTAGTCTCTGGTTTAATCCTGTGTTCTTAACGGCTTTGTGTTTTTTTTAGTGTGTAATTTCTTCTGCCCTTCCTGTGTCATAGTATTTCAGTGCTTTTTACTTAAGTTCTCACGTTTTCTATGTATACTTGCAATTTTACTATTTCTTATTTTCTCAAAGTAATGCTGCACAAATATTTCTTGTCCATTTCTGAAGAATTTAAAAGGATTTAACATTTCAGTTATAAGTTAAATCAATAAACTATTTAATGAAAACCATAATGAGCAATCACTAACTTTCATTAAGAAATCAACTACAGACTGCTATTCATTTACTAAGGTTCTGCTGTATTTATTTCCAAAAAGAGAACACTATACTTTGCCCAAAGAATTCATAAAATGAAATTTTCCACTGTCCTCGTATGAGCAAGTTATGTGCATTTTATTCCACAGGCTACGTGTCTTCGTCAGTATCTTTATTTACGTGTAGGTGCAGAGTTAAAATTCAGCTACTATACCCAGGTAAGAAATGACATAGCAGACTAAAAGGCAAATTATTTCATATGCAGGCTTATATTTGTCTTATTTATTTTTTTCTAACGACAATCATCTCATATTCAACAAATATTTACAATTGTTTTTTCAAGAAGTCTAAAGAAGATTCCCTTGTACCGCTCAAATTTAGAAGTGACCAAAATGGCACAACACCCAAGAGGAAAAGTAAGTAGAGAATCAACTGTCAACTAAACACCCCCTTCACCACAGTGTGCACACCGAGTTGTCTTAAGCATTGCTCACATAGACTGTAGTCTGGTCACTTAGCCTCTCCATCCAGGTTTCGTTGAGCAATTTCTATTTCTATGTGGTTAGCACTGTGCCAGGCTCTGTAGACACAAGAGATACATAAAGCATGGGTCCTGCTCACAAGGCGCTTACAATACTGTTGACTATTTAAAAAAAAAAACTACAAAGGCCCTTAAAAACACATATTGTCCAAATTGTTTTTAGATAAAAAAAGCATTTTAGGTAATGAAAACAAAATAAAGCCTTAGAACATGAATGAAACAAAGAAACACTTTTATCCATGGGATGAACCTAGAGATATTTTGAATTAATAAAATATTCAGTAAAAGCTTGGATTAATGAAATATTAAAAGAATATATTTTTTTACAGCAATTACACATTCAGGTATTCATGGTATATCAAGCAAGGTATATTTTATACAGCTCCTTAAGGTACCTGAATAATTATAATTATCTAACCACAGGTTTCTCTGGAATGTGCTTCCAACTATGGAGAATGTTGAAAAAATTTTTGTTGTCTTAAGTAGTTCATATAGTTTCCTTATAACCTGGATTTCATTATTTATTTGATTTTTAAAAGTTATTCTTGTAGACAGTAAAAATGTGGATCAATCAAATTCTGTCTGAATTTTTATGCATTGCATGGACCAAAGTCCACTTACAACTATGAGACACATACATACATTTACGTATAAAAGATAATGACTCTAATCTTCTCTCTCTCCTTGGGATAATCTGGATGAGTATAGCGTCTGATGGAAGAGCAATCTTTGAACCCTAATATTCTGTTTCCTTATCTCGCCCTGGTTCTAAGATCTCAGCATGGCTTGGCGTGCCTCTTCCCATTACCCTGGCCCAACCTCTCTTGGGAGCAGCACAGCTGAGTTTTTTGTTTGTTTGTTTCCCACTGAGTCGCAGTGGTGCTGAATGAAAGCTCTGGTTCTGTGATAGGATGGAGGTGGGAGTAGGCAGGAGTTCATTTCCTCCAGTGCAAAGTCATAGGTCTAGAATTACGCAGAATATATTATATGTACTCAGGAACCAGGTCTATACAGCCCACTTACAAAGCATATTAATAACACATATTTGTTTTGCATATGTATCCCATACAGCTCTACTGCAGTTACTATAACTACAATAAAACTGTAGATCAAGCACCTTTTCTCCCCACGTAACATTTTTTGGCAGAGTTCCTAAGAAATTTACTTTATTTTGAGGTTTAATTCTATCCTCAATATAACCTCATTACATAATTATGAGAATCTGTGTTTACTGAAGATAGTAAAGAAAACGAAGGTGAAGACATATGTTAAAAATCTGTAAGTGCGTTGCTGAATCATGATCCAGAATATTTGAGAACATATGTTACAGAGCGTATCATTTTGGGTGAATTTATAAGCAATGGATACATTTCTGTGGATTAGAAACAAAAATATGACAAGTATTTTATACTGACATACACTGTCTCTACACCAGATTTCAAAATAACTGGAGAAAGATCATGCCTAATTGTATGAGAAATATCTATACCAAATAGTCATTATTTTTCAAATTTTTCTGATAATTTTATTACTTTCACATAGAGAGCTTTAATAAACATTATTTTATTAAACTGCATGTGATTATTCTGCCTGGATGTAGCATTTTTAAATCAGGAGAGTTTAACATGAAATTTCCCAAGTTGAAAACAACATGGAAACAAAGAGCGTTCTATCACAAAGGCTTTTCTATCATTTAAATTGGCAACTGCTAATCTTGTACATAAATGTTACACTTGTTGAGAATTCACCAATTAAGTAGCATCTTTCTTAGTGTCAAATACTGTACTAGTGCTGAGACACCTACAAAGAAAATATAAGAAAGAGGTCCTGTCCACCATAAAGCATAATTTTTGTCAAGTGAAAAGGACATACACAATGAAAATATTTAAGGAATAATTCAATAATCCTCAAAATGAGCTCTGTATAACTTCAGAGTTGGGGATAGAGGTAAGAAGAGAATAAAGATACTTAAAAAATTCAAGGCCTAAGGACAAAATGAGATTTGAACATGTGGGAGATGAGTGGGTTTTGTATGGGCAAAAATAATCCTCAGGTATTATATAAAAGAATAGCATCCAGGGGTTTGAAATCGATTCTGTCTGTGACATTTAAACCCACACAGTCAGGAAGCTGGTTTACAGTTGAAATTGAGAACCCATATTGTATAGCTGGAGATAAGTCTGGATAAAGTAATCACAGCTAATACTTATGGAGTATCTATTGTGTTACACTCACTTTGCATACATTATCACAATAATTCCACAGGTAAGTATTATTATCTTTAGTTTATAGATTAATTCATTGAGATTCAATGAGATTAATTAAATTCTTCAAGGTCATAGAGCTAGTGAGTGGCATAGCTAGATTTAAATCCAAGTTTGATCCAAAACCCGTGCTTCTATTACTATATCACATTGTCTTATAAATGGAATGTCATTGTAACAAATCTCATATCCCACTGTGCTGTAGGAATAACAGTAAACCTGGAACTAAAGCACTTAAACTTGGATCTGAATGCTTACTTATATTAGCCATGTGACATTGGACAAACCCTTCATAAACTTTACCCTCTTTTGTAAAAAAAAAATAATAAATAGATGACAGCTAGACAACCACATAGCTGGATGATGGACAGACAATGGTAAAAGGAGCACGGATATTCGTGTGACGGTTGGCAAATTCTACTTGCTCAGTAAAATTCATTGAATTTAAACTTGAATAAAGGGATTGTGTACACCAACAGCTTTGTGCTGGTTACATAAGGCCACTTAAAAATACAGATTTGAAAGAAAATAATTGTAGTTTACAGCTAATTCACAACTGGTGAAGAACGACTCAACAATTTTGGTTTAATCTAGTTGACAGAAATGATAATGGAGTCACAGTATAGGTTCCTATGGCAAAATTGGTGATACCATATTATCATTTCTTCCCAAGATGTCCTTGTAGGTGACAGCATGGCTCTTAGCACAGGGCCTAAAGAAGCGACACTCCATAAATATGTGCTGAATTGAGTGAATGAGGAGAAGGATGTGAAAGAGGAAGACGGGGAAAAGAAAGGAAGGTTGGTTGAATTTCTAAGCAGGGAAGGGCACATTAACTGAAAGATATTAGATGACACAAAGTAGTTCTAAAAAGTCCCCAAAATGTCTTATTTCAATTCAGACAAAATAGATCTCTTTATTTCATAAAAAAGTAACAAAATTTTATATTTGATAACTATGTCACTTATTAATTTTGCCTTTTTGTATGCTGCCCAAGAAGACATTTTAAGAAGCCCTGAATTGATAGTGGTGGATCAGAAGGCCGTGCCTGTATTTCTTATGGCTCTAACTCAGCAGGTAATCCTCCAGCCGAGGTATTGTTTGCTATGACACTTCGAGAGAGCTCTTAGCCGCATCACTCCTTTCAGTCTTCAAAGACAAAGAAATGACAGTTAAGCTGATTCCTGAGTTGCTAAATGACACATAATCAGAATAGAGACTTAAGAGACTTTTAGTTCCAAGCTTACCCCAGAGGGACACAACATCTCCAAAACATTAATCACATATTTTGCATAAATATTCTTTGCCCTGGTGCCCTCCTGCCTGCATCTGGCGTCCTTTCCCAACTCATTCAGTTGACGTCCTATTAAGTGAATTCTTGCTCTCCGTATGTTGACTTTTCACTGTCAAAATCTTATACCGATTTTTCAAGCACATACTGTAAAATCAAAACCAACATAAAATGTAAAGATGTCCACATCAGTTGAGTTTCAGGTAAAGGTTTGATGTTGGGGGAAAACTCCTGGGAGATGGGTTTTTCTCTTTCTCACTTTTTCCACCAATCATCATGTGTGAAATCCTGCCCAACTTTTGAAATACATTCTCAAAATCCAGTCCAAGAAGCCAATTTAACACACAGAGGCACAGATTATCATAATAAACCTGGTCTCAGTGGGTATTACTGACAAGAAAAAACATTAAAATGAAAAAAGATGAAAATGAAGAAACAATCAAAATCAAAATATAAAATTCTCCTTCTCAGATGGGGAGAACTACACAAACTCAGGGAAGCAGGAATTGCAATAAAAAGTCCAACTCCGTTCTTTCATTGTCTGTTAGAATAGAGAGAGAAAGGTGCAATAAGCATGGGTACAGATACTTTTTTTGTATGGTGTGAGGAGTAAGATGTAAGTAAGCAATATATATGTCTTTGATATCAAAACATTCTTATTTGAAGTAATTACATGTGTGTTTTATAAATAAAAGCGGTTTAAATAACTATGGTTTTTGGATCACTTAAGCCTCTAGATCATTTAATTATGCTAAGTATATGCTTTTTTCTGAGTAATTTTTATGGTTTCTAAGTTTGCAATCCAGAAGAAGAATCAAATCATGAAGCTATATCAATTTTAGACACATCACATGGTCAAATAATCTTGCCATAAAAACAAGCCCCAATCAGTATATAACTATACCCTAAAAATAAATAAGAAAGAGTGCGAATTGAAATAGCCAGGAAATACAATTTTTCTCCTATCAAAACAACAAAGTATTGTGTATGTGTTTTTTTAAGATAATATACAGGCTGGTCAGGGTGAAGCAAAGCAGAAACTCACACACATCCTGATGAAACTTTACGCCTTTGTAATTCTTTTAGAAAGCAGTCAGACTGGATGCATGTTTAAAGAATATTAAAAATTTACATATTATTTATTCCTTAATGTATACTTATGATAAAAATAATCACAAATATCTTTTTAAAAACCTCTGCATTTCAGTCTTTGGGTAATGATATGGTTCTATTCATTGTGGTGCCAAATTTGAACATGGATTATGATTAAGTAAACTGTAGTGTATCCTTTTAATAGACTATTATATAAATATTAGCATTACTTCTACAATAATTTGTAAATAGTCTGGGAAATGCTTATTTTATATTAAGTGAAATAAAAAAAGATATAATAATGCATATATAATATTATCGTAAGTATGTAAAACAAAATCAAGGAAAGTGCAAGAGAAAAAGAAAAGAAATACACTAAAATGATGGTGATCTTTTTTTTTTTTTTTTTCGTGAGGAAGATCAGCCCTGAGCTAACATCCGTGCTAATCCTCCTCTTTTTGCTGAGGAAGACTGGCTCTGAGCTAACGTCTATTGCCAATCCTCCTCCTTTTTTTCTCCCCAAAGCCCCAGTAGATAGTTGTATGTCATAGTTGCACATCCTTCTAGTTGCTGTATGTGGGACGTGGTCTCAGCATGGCCGGAGAAGCGGTGCATAGGTGCGCGCCTGGGATCCGAACCCAGGCCTCCTGCAGCGGCGCATGGGCACTTAACCACTAAGTCATGGGGTCGGCCCCACGATGGTGATCTTTTTATGAGTAGTGGAGGTAAAGTTTAGTAAGCTGCTTTTCTTTCTAATTTTCTTTATTCTCTAAAGTTTCTATAGAGAGCCTGGCTTATTTTTATAATGAGGGCAAAGTACAATAAGTTTACTTTAAAAAATTAAAAATGGAATTAGAGTGAGCCTACTAATAAAGAGATGGGAACTGGGTATCTGCCTTATTTTCTCTTCATTTGTTTTCCAAGGGAATGTGTGTTTATAGCAAAACAGTGCCTGGAATATGTGTATTATACACAGACATTTAGGGGAAGGATGTAGGACCATAAAGGTGAGCTGAGGAAAATTTTATTGGGCTTGTGATTTTTAGGCAATGTTCCAGAATCACCCAGCTTATTCTTATCCTTTAGGCATTGTTGCACACTATATCTCTACTGAAAAACACAAGAAGATCTTCCCCTGAAGAACAGAAGTGATTATCTTTCAGTTATCTCAACCACAGGAGAACGAATGGCCAAAGAATTGAGCTGTTTCAATGTCCACATCCGTCATAACAACTCATACTGAGTAGAGGGGTTATTGTATTGGCCTTACTCAGAGAATGAAATGAAATGGGCATGCTGATCTTCCATTAAAATGAAGAGTTCAACTTATTCAAAAAATCGAGAGCTGTTTTTGAAAAAATAATTAAAACTTCACAATCTCTCATTTAAAAAAAAGATCACACAATGCAGTAATACCCAGAAGACTATTCATTCAGTTAACCCTACAGTCAGTAACATAAATATTGAAAAGAGGAATCAACAGGGCAAGCAAGAGTGTGATAACCATACGGCAAACACATGGAATTCTGATGTCTAGTTAAAACAGGAGTAGCTTAGCCTTAAAAGAGTCCTGGCGACTGTTCTTCCTATGAAAAATCAGTGACACGCAGGTTCTTTCACAGCATGAGCCAGTCTTCAAAATCTCTTGGAGGAAACATAAGTGAAGTTATAAAAACTACAACAGCTCTTCTCCTTAATGAACTATGTGTGCTTAATTTCCATTTTAATTTGTAAGAGATAGCTTGCCTTTGTAGCATGAACTCAGATTAGAACAGAGAGATGGGGAAGGCTATGCTGTAAATGCAGGCAGCTTCTAGATCTCACCTTTCAGAAAGGTCACTCCACATCAAGGTTGAGGAGCACTGGTGGGGTAAGGTGGTGGAGCTGGATGCATAGTTGTTTGTGTGGTGCCTGATCTGTGAACAGACAGAGGGTTTCAGTGGACAGAATTATTGATTATGACTCCTTTTGTAGAAGACACTTCCTTGAACATTTTCAAAGAAAAGCAAAACCAAACTCCATACATCCGCTCACACCAACAGTGATCAAGTAAATAAAGATGCTTTAGATATTATCTTCCCAAGACTATCTCATTCCTGCCTCCGTGCTCTGACCCACGTTCTTATTTCCTCCCACACTTCCACACCAGACACTACTTGAGAGCAGAGACCATGTCTAATATGACTTCTAAATTCCTAGAGCAGTTATCACAGCAGTTGTTAAATAAAAACTCACTGACTACAAATGATTGGTCAGGTAAATCTAATTCCACCACTCTCCAGCTTTCAGTGACTTCCTATTGCTCTTAGGATAAAGACCAGGCTTCTGAACATGACCTCACAAGTCCTGTTTGATCTAGCCTTTGGCTGCAACTCCAGCTTTGTTTTGAACCTTATGCCCTTTGCTATCATGAGCTCACACCAGCTGTCTATGGACATCATGAACAGTGTCAGCCTCCTTCCTACCTCAGGCCCGTTGCACTTGAAGCTTCCTCTGCCTGGAGTGTTCTTCCATTCCCTCATCACCTGGCTGACTCCTACTTATCCTTCAGATCTCAACTTCGAAAGTCATTTCCTCAGAGAATATCTTGTTGACCTGAGCTGGTCCTCCACTATGTGATACTCACTATTTTCTTTTCAGGAACTCATTGTAGTTTAGAACCAATAGTTATTTGTGTGATTATTTGTTGAATATTTATTGTTATTTCTAGGCTACAAGCTTCATGAGAGCAGGAACCATGCCTAGTTTTGCTTACTGCTGTGTCTCTAGCAGCTACCACAGTGCCTGGCACGTAGGTCACAGTCAATAAATATTTGTGTCATGAATTAATGATGCTGTATAGTTGGCTCTGAGGCCCATCCTTCAACAGTGTTCTCCAAATAATAGCTTAAATTCATTGGATGCAATCAAAAAATACTAAGAAAAAATACCTGAAAAATTATTTCTTTTTTATGCATTTCTCAGAAATTCTCTTACAAGAAATAGCAGAATGAAATGAAATTCTTATAAGAAATTGTTATAAGAAAAAGCAGAAAGAAATGAAATTCAATGTTTCCTTAGTCTTTTTATTGGATTCCTAGAGTCCTTTTTTTCTCAAAAGTTTAGTTAAGATCATCTTAAACAGCATGCCCATCCCAAGTGGCATGGCATTACGTAAGATGTCCAGACACACATGTAGTTCTCCAATTCTTGAGGGTGTTAAGCAAATAGAAAATTTCTGTTTTAAGAAGGCAGTGTTATTTGAAGGACAATAAAATGACATGTCTTGTTTGCAAAGAAAATTACACTTTGGCCAATTTCTATTTCAGAGCAAACAGAAAAAGTTTAATGACACATTTTATAGCAACACTGTGGCTCTGGAAGTGTGGTCAGAATTGAGGTCGGAGTCCAAAAATAAACTAGGTTTTCCTATTTATTCTCTGAGACTTTCAGAATCCCCTGTGCGCCCCTGTCTGAGTAGGCCTTCACATGTTAAAGAGCAATCTGGTTAGAGTGGGTTCCTGCCCTAGGGGACCACAGGTCTCTCTTCCTGCTATTAGGCTACTCAGGTTCTCGCTTAGAGGCCAGCTGTAAATAAATAAATGCTCTTGGGGTTGCAGGATTTGGCTCAACCTTAGGAGGAGATACAACTGTAGAAATTCAGGTATCACTTATCTCTCCAATGTCAAGTAGCAGAAAAAGAAGGAACAGAAGGAATGAGGCACTGCGAGGTAATTTGCAAAGAACCAGGAGTTCTGAAGCGTGGCGTGGCTCCCACTGCACTCTCTACATTACTCCTCTGGGGGCCCTATTTCCCCTACAGATGCTCCCCACGATTCACTCCACCATTCTCGTGAGAAAACTGCTTCACGGTCACAGCTGATTTCTGCAGCTTGCTCTGCCCCTGCCACCAGTGGATCGTTCACTACATGCCCAACTCCTTTCCTATATGTGTCTTTTATTGTACGCCTGCTCTCCAGTCTTTGTGCTGTTTTCAGATTCCCACCCTCATCCTTCTTGGCTAGTGTATCAACTTGAATTTTATGAAACTGACATTTTTGTTGAATCAAAAATGGTTAGATATTAAAAATTATATATGATTTTACCTGATAACAGCCTTCTAACTAACTAGTGTTTCTGACCTAAGTCTTTCCTCTCTTGAACATGTTTTTCATACTGTTTCTAAAGCAAACCTTGGCAAATCCTAAATATCTTAGAAGGTTCCCCATTGCTACAGGGTAAAGTTCGGAAGTACCTACAGCCCACCACCGAGTGGCTCCAATCCACACCTCCAGGTTCAACTCCCACGTCTCCTCTTTGTGTGAACCTGCTTCAATCCTCTATACTCCTCGCTCTTCGAGAGACCTGCCAATGCTCGTTCACACCGAATTACTGTGGAGTTTGCTATTCCATTTCTAAAATGCATCTCTCTAGTTCTGTCCAGAATTAATCCTGCTTACCCTTCAAGACCCAGCCTTTCATTTCCTTGGAAAAGTATCATCTTTCCGTACCATGGCATCCATTATTCAAGATGGACTTCTCTCATCCTATTGTACTAATGAGTCTGTCAGTCTCTCACACTCTGATTCACAGTAGGAGCTCAAGAAGGGTTTGTGAATATAATAGAATTCTAAGCAAATGATTGGCTCTCCTCAATGGTCAACATTATGAAGCCAAGGACTGACCAAACCTTCTAGCATGCATAAGAACCTCCTAAGTGTAGGTCACTTTATCAGATATTATGACATGCTCACATTGTAAAAGTGGCCCTTGGCTCTAGAAATATGTTGTCTCTATATGCCCCACATAATACCTTGAGAATATCCATGGTTACATTTCACCTAACCATACATCACTCTTCTTCACTAGACTGGGAAGAAAGCACTTAGACACTCAGTGCACTTTTTTGCATGAATGAGTGAATGAATAATAAGTAAAGACTGTCTTTGGCTGAGTATCCCCAGAAGCAGACCCTGAGCCAAGGATTTGCCTGCAAGTGACTTATTAAGGATGTGCTCCACAAGAAACCAATAAGAGAGTGGGAAAGCAGGACAGAGAAGGAGAAGAGGTCAAACAAGGGTGAACTTTTGGGTGAGTCGGGCTTCAGTTTGAAGCTTTGGGAAACTCTGGAGCATAAATTACACCTTGAAGTTTGTCACATCTCTAGACAAGGGGTCTGAGCCTTTCTACTCCTACATCCATCAGTCATTGCTGCTTTGCGGGGGAATAAAACTACTAGGCTCTTCTGGCTCTGCCCAGGGGTGAGCCTCTGAAGGCCGTAGTGTGACCAGTTAGCAGGGAAACAAGCAGAAGCTGGGGCAGGGAACACAGAGCTCCGGTATATGAGATCTGAGAGGCTCGGGGGCTGTGGGGGACTCCAATCGTGTGAGATACACTACCAGGCAAATATTTGGCAAGTTAAGTTTAGCTGGTAGTGGAGGAGGCTGCCCACGTGCACAGCTGGGGAACTCTGGGAAGGGTGTCCTACTAAAAATAATCTCCACCTCCACTACTGATGCTTGGAATCATTTTACCTAGGGACGAAACTTCTTAATCTATACTGAGTAGCAATATTTTAAAAGAGAATTACCTTAGTGGAAGGGAGAAAATATAGAAATACTTATTTCAAACCCACCGTAAGTCAGGTGACGCCACACTATTTTACATTTCATTCCATTTAATGCTTTACTCCTTTAATCACTGACTTTCATCCACACCGAAGTACGGGTCTTTCCTGAAAGTACAGGATGGACAGACCCTAATGGGCCTCTCTTAGACACCTTAGCTCTTGCCACCATGAATGTTTTCCTTGATGCTGCTCAAGATCTTCCTGCTCAAAATAAATCTTCTTCCTCTTGTTTCAGCTAAGCTCACAGCTCTGTTGTGTTCTTCCCAAATTTTCACATGTGTATGATGCCCAATCTGCTAGAAAAGCTGGTCCTCTCTCTGGATATGAGCACCCCAAGATGTCAGTTAAAGCAGCTTTATTTACTAAGCCATATTATAGGCTATTTTTAAAGATCCATTAAGATAGAAAAGATTGCGTGTGTGTGTGTGTGTGTGTGTGTGTTTAATCTTCAACTTGAATTTGACTTGGACTGGATTATTTTCCTATAGCAATTGCAGTAAAAATACTGGCACATGAGTGGTCACTCCACAGACACCTGAACGCTGCCCTGTTGTTTGGTCTACTGCCGTGGCCTGTTGGCGGCCTCTGGGCTGTCTGTGGTTTGGCTGAGGACGCCTGACGTCTGTGTTCCTGGAGCCACTCTGCCTCCATCTGGTGAACACTGTGTTAGTCTGTCTGTGATGTTCCTTCCAGAATGACCCCGCTGCACCACAGGGCTATAGTTGTTCTTTAGCATGTCATTAGAATTCCCTCTGCTCACCTCACATCAGCCCAGTAATCTCTCTCCACCCACTGCCTGATCCTGAACAGCTGAAGGGTATGGTGGTCTGCACTGTTGTCTTCAGAATTTCAACACCAGATTCATAACATATTACAGAGGCTCTCTGGACTCCTGAGGAACACAGAGAAAACCATTCCAGAATTACTTACCTCCCATCACCTCCAATTTCCTGTGTCCTTGTTATGGATTGTCCTATCCCCACAACTGTCCCCCCGCCTTCCATCATTCTGTTCACTGGCTCTGTTCCATCTGCCTTCAAATATTCATAGGCTTACTTATCTTGGGGAATTCATTAATTCATTTTATTCTTTGAAGTTGGCACTATTATTATCTTTACCTGACAGATGGGGAAACTGAGGCACATGGAGGTTAAGTCACTTGTCCAAGGTCACCCAGCAGTAAATGGCAGAGCTTGGATTCAAACGCAGGCAGTCTGGTTCCAGAATATATGCTAACTGCACTCTGCACTCCCTCACTGTCTTCAAACCCCTGTAATTGGATTTCATTCCCATGACAGTAAAACCAGT